CCCCATCGCAGCCTCCCCCTCGCCCCTCTTTATCCCCCGGCCCCGCGCTCTCCCCTGTCATTCATTTGTCACTCTCCCCTCGCCCGTTTTTTTTCCCTCGCCCCTTCTCCCTCTCGTTCCTCCGTTGTTTTCTTTTCTGCACGGTCCCTTTCTCTTCCTCCATCTATTTTTATCTTCTTTTCATCCCCTTTTGCCCTCCCCCTCCTTATCCTCTCCCTGCTCTTCTCACTCCTTCCGTCCCTCTTCACTTTTTCTGGGTGCTTGTGTGTGTGTTCCAGGCCTTCAAGGAAAAGTTGCAAACTCCCGAGTTTTTTTTGCTATATTTGGGGGAGCAGGTGTGTGAAAGGAGGGAGCTATGTAGGAGGTGCCTGGGTGCTCAGGGAGGTTTTGAGGAGATAAATGGAGAGGATGTGGGAATGGAAGGGGTAGGCTTGTCAGTCCTCTCAGGGTATTCCGGGGGAGAGACTCCAAATCCTCCTCCTGAAGGGAAGGGGGATTGATTACTGTATTTCTTTTTTATTTAAAAAAAAAAAAAAAGTGAAGAAAAAACCCAAACAAAACCCAACCCAGTTGCCCAAGGATGGAGTTTCAGTAGCCAACCACAGCTGGACTCTTGGGGGAAGAGGGTTCGTGCACTCTGGCTCATGCACGTATGAAGAGATTCTCCAAATTGTTTGGCTTCACGAAGAGATAAGGCCAGTTGAGCTCAATGTTTTTAAAGGTGGGCCGTGTATGATGAAACCCAACTTCTTTTAAAGTGTAGCAGATTTCATTTTTATGGCCAAATGACAGCTTGACCCAGTTGTTATCCAATCAAAGGGCATTTTTTTGAATGTCTCTTTGTGGCACAACAGCCAACGCAAAAATGATGGCGGCTTACAATGGCGGTACGTCTGCAGCAGCAGCAGGTCACCACCACCACCATCACCACCACCTTCCTCACCTCCCTCCTCCTCACCTCCATCACCACCACCACCCTCAACATCACTTGCATCCAGGCTCTGCAGCTGCGGTACATCCCGTACAGCAGCATGCCTCTTCGGCAGCTGCGGAAAAAAGCGGCCGCAGCAATGCTAAACCCAGGGCAGCAGCAGCCATATTTCCCATCACCGCCCCCGGGTCAGGCCCCTGGCCCAGCTGCAGCAGCCCCAGCTCAGGTACAAGCTGCAGCAGCTGCTGCAGTTAAAGCGCACCATCATCAGCACTCACAACATCCACAACAGCAACTGGATATTGAGCCGGACAGACCTATTGGATATGGAGCCTTTGGTGTTGTCTGGTGAGTAAAGAAAAAAAACTGAACCGATTTTTCCTTTTCATTTTTTACCAGATCATAATTCATTCTTGGTTTTGTCATTTGAATCAGAATACAAGAAAGCTGCTTAGTACAAATTTTTTTAGCGGTTCATGCCTGTTCTTAGAAAGTTGGCTTGACTTGTTTTTGTTGGCAGAAGGAGGTTTAGAGTGGTGAAGAGCAACCTCTGACTAACAGGCCGCACCATCGTTCTCTTCTGAGACAAATGCAACCTGTTTATATACTTTCTATACATTTTATTAGCAAATGTATTCTGTGTAGCTAAGCTGTGCTTCCTAAAGTTTCAGGTTAACAAATGAGCATTAGAATACCTGTTTTGACCTGACTTAAGAGTTAGAAATTAAAAGCGTATGAAAATGTCTTCCTTCTTCAGTCACCTGTCAGGATCTTTGTCTAGGAGACTGTTTGACCTGCTGTAGCATGCTATATGCTACCTGAAACAGAATATCTGAACTTTGCTCTCCTCTCGTAAATGTAAATGGGATTTTCTGTCTTACTGTAGTACTGCCTACAGTCCTTTTATTCCCCTAGCTGCTCTTTCAGAGGATTCTGTCAGTGGAGTGTGATCTGTCTCATATACTTTGTGATCACCTTAATACAACGTGTGTAATTATTCCCCTTCAGGATCACTGAAGCAAAACTGGTGTGATTTTTTTATATTTTTTGGGGGTTTATAAATGGTTGTCAGTTTAACATATTCTGAAATGTTCGTTAGAAACGTGAAAGATGCCTCGGTGGTGTTTTTGAGAGCGAGCGTGTTGCAGCACACTTCCTGTATCACAAAGTTTGAAGCGTGCAACTGTGTCCTGTCCCTACAGAACTTTCCACAGCGTTCAGTCGACAAGGCTTTCTGTGGTGCTTAAGGAGTTTTGCTTTAGGTACTGTCTGTACTTCAGTTTTACTGAGATAAAGTATTATGTGACGGAGGTTGCAGTCTGTACCAGCATATGGTGGCAAAGTGCTTTGCAGGACAGGCCTCAGAAGAGCAAGACACGTTATTCCTTTGTCTTAGCCCTTAGAGTTGGTCATTCATAACCAGATCAGTGTTTGTAATAGAATCATGTTTTCTAAGAAGGCTGAACAAGCTGCACAAACTAGGCGTAGGTTAATATTGTAGTTGATCTTGCGTTCCTTAGCTGAGAAGGCCTAGGGAGTTAATTTACATGCCAAGTTTTCAAAGTCGGAGGGGTGCTGTTGTACCGTTAGCACTGCTGTGTTGTGTTCTTGCTATGGTACAGTGTAAAAAAGTTGATATAAAAGAATGAAAACTGACAACAAATCTGCTGTAAAAAATTATCTAAAGATCATTTCCATCTGTTCATGTATTTTTTGGTAAAGTATGGAGTTTTTTTAACTTAATTGTTACAGGCTTGCTTAAATTTAGATTGTTATGTAAGATCAGACCTTGTTATCATTTCTACAAACATTTTGTTTATCTGTATATATTCCTAGGTCTTTATTGTCTCAGTTTTATTTGCAAAAAAGTAAGGTGTGGAGAGAGATCTGCCTTCATAATATCCAGTAGAATAAAAGGTCAAGCTTGCTTATTTAAATATAATATAAAGAATACTGAGGAAAAAAAAAGAAGTGTAGAAAGAAGGGTCTGCTCTTGGCTGACGTCAGGTAGAACGGTGCCAAAAGCGTCCACCCCTCCCGAGACCCCTGACCATGCATTTGCATCCACACGAGCAGGAATTGCCACTAGTGGGACTGTGCTTGCGAAGTTGTAACTACAGCTTGTACGTCAAGATAACAACAGCTTAAAAAAAGAAAAAAAAAAAAAGAGGGAGGATGTTAAAAAAAAAAAAGTAAAAGCAGAAGCTTGGAGGTCAGTTCTTTGGTAAAGCTGTAAGGGCTACACAGACAGAGAACGTAATTGGTGAAACTGGTTCCTCTTTCCTCACATGTATTTGGAGGCAGTGGTCGCTGTTAGGCTTTTGGCATTTCATGTTAACTTCTGCAAGTGAATGCAGACTGAACTTAAGAGTTTGTAAGTAATAATTGAACAGAATTTTAGTTTTCATTCAAAACATGAAAGAATGCCTGGGTAATTTAATTTTAGCAATGTGAGATAATGCAACTGAAGATAAACATTGATTTGTATATTTATAGTTTAAGCTTAGACATGAAAAATGTATACTTTGGTACAAGTGTAACACAGAATTTTCAGTAACGTAAGGCCTCAGCTAATTTTGAGTAAGGATTCTGTTGCTTATCTGTACCTCTTTCTGAACGTGTATTGGCACTAATGGATAACTGAAAAGTTCGTATCCGTACTTCTGAGGGAAATGAATGTTATCCTACAGACAGTTTGAGTATTTGAAGAAGTAGTCTTTCATCTTGCTACTCAGATCTGTCATTGCGTGGTCTAGAAAGATACAACTTATCCTGCAGTTAAGTTTAGCTAGTCAAAGAAGTAATCAGTAGCATGTGGTATTGAGTTTCCCGTTAGCTTACTGAGAGAGATTTTGACTTGGCAGTTGAATTAGTATTTGTCGTTAGTTCATTTGTCTGGTACTTTATGACGTTTTGGGTAGCTAATGTGCTGCTGGAGTTTTTCACTCATGAAGAGCCAAAGCATCGTGCTTCAGCATTTTCATTATTAACTCGTGCACGCTTGTATTGCTGCCGCTAGTATTTATATGCACAGGCTGTATCTTTGCTCATCTAGTCGCCGTTACGTTTTAAACCAACTATCTTTGGCACGTTATCTCCCTTGACTGCATGTAGATTTTAAAGGGAACTTAACCCAAGCTGGCAAAGTAGAAAAGAATCTCTTGAACAGTCGACATTAAATTGCTGTATTTATCTGTGTTCATTGTGCTTTAACGTAAAGACGAGCATATTAATGCAATACCAAAGTGTGGTGTTTCTGAACTAACCTGAACGGGGGGAGTTGCTGAAGCAGGAGAAGATTTGTAGGTACCTTCCCCCAGGTTCTGCAGATTTGCTTAACTGCGCTCTAGTTTGGCAAATTGCCACGAACCAAGTTGCATACCTCATTTGCTGAAAACAGAGCAATTTGCTCTTTAAGTACTCACTGTTAACGCGTTCTTACGGCGTCGAAAAAATTCTGGATTTTAGCTTCAGCGACAAACTCGGTTTGCGACCCGTGTTTTAGATCGCGTATCTGATTTTTGGAAGTCTTGTGTATATTCTAGGAATAAGGAGCTGTCCTTTGCAGAAGTGCTCCTTGTTTTGCTGGGGAGACATGCTACTGCCATCTGGTGGGATTCTTAAAAATAATAATAATAATAATAATAATTAAAAAAAATAATCTGTTGAACCTGATAATAATAATTAAAAAAAAAAATCCGTTGAACCTGCCAAGGCTCATAGGTTTTAGAGTGAAGGGTAAAGCCTTAATACCGCTGCAAGAGGCGCTCGTGCTGTTTTCATGCGGGATTCTCCGAGACCAGTGAAGAGGAACTGCAACTTCTGTGGAGGTAGACAGGGAATAATTACTTTTGTTGCTGGTTCAAGCTGTTAACACTGCTGCTGAAATTTTGTGAAAATGTCTTGTAGGCTGGGATATAGCCTCCCGTGGGATAAGAAACTGTGACTGTGAGGTGTGTGGGGATTGTATTTATCTTGTATGTGTCTCTAATTTTGAAAAGTTATCATCATTCATCTAAGATTGTGAAATCAAGCAATCTGTTTTATTATTATCAAAACTGTGTTAAAAGGTATCTCTGCAGGAAATCTGTTATAAATGACAATAGAAAAAAAGTATATGAATTATTTTTTTTTTTTTAGAGGTCCTGATTTACACAATTTTAAATTGCAGTGTGATTTTTAAAGTATTTGCTTCTAATACTTTTTATTCAAAAAGTCAAACAGCAGTGTAACGTTCCAAATAGTTTGGCTGTTGATGTTGGGATAGGACATTATGTACAGACTGCCATAACTTTTAAAGGCAGAAGTAATTTAGCCTAAATCTGCTATTTGTTCCTGACCTTCAAAGGCCTGAAATCACTAAAGTCACTGCTAAATAAAAATGGAAAGAATATTGCGTACAATTGATCGTTGCCGAGACCCTAGAACTATTTTAAGAGGGTTTTATCACTATGCTAGTATTAAGCACAGCAGTTGGAAAGACGTTTCTAGGATAAACCGATAATCTCCTAACTGTTACTTTAAAGGAATGTGTCATGCTGAGCAAACAATATAGATAATTTGGTTTGGACAGAATTGCTGGGAGGGGGCGGGATGTTACATCTTCAAAAAAGTATGAATAACTGCAGGATAAGTTCCCCCTCTGATGTCCGATATTGCTGTGAATCACAAGGATGTTTTGCATAGTTAATGCAAATAATGATGCAAAAGTCCAGTCTGGTAAGCAAGAAAAGTTGAGAAGGTGGTGAATGATGAAGATTTGTTTTATGAAACTTTAGAAGACTTTTGGTGTGAGAGATTTTTTTTCTAAGCTAAAGTTGTTTGTATCATGATCTTTTTCTAGTCCCTCAAATCTCACCTGTTACTGGAAGACAGTACTTGAACATTAGGAAAATGTCGCATGTTAATTAGCAAAATGGAAAACATCTGCAGTGTGATAGGTTGATTTTTGGTGTACTGAAATTTGCTTTTAGTAATGGGCAACAAAAATGTTTAAAATTAATAAATAAAATAGAAATAGTTTTAAAAAAATTCTTCCAGGATATTTGGATGACTTGTCTGTCTGTATTGACTGTTGTGTTTAGCGTTGCTGATGATCTTCACTCGTCTAGGTAAATATGAAGCTTTTCCATTCAAATGATGCATCTGCTTTCTCTACGTAGACTGTAACAGAAAAATGTGAACAGAAATTTCCAGTTAGAAAAGGTTACCACTGGTCCGTTCTTTCTAGTTCCAGCATGCAAACACTTCCCATTAGAAGGTGTGACATACATGTCATTATAATTGCCTGGCTTCTATGTATAACATTTTTAAAAAGTAATGTTGCCTTTCATTGTTCAGCTGAGTAG